CATAGTTGACGTGTACCTACGATGAAAATTACAGGCCTCTCTCATCTTTTTAAGTAGGAGAACTTGCACAATTGGTGGCTGACTAAATACTTTTTTTCCCCACTGTAACTGCATCCATCTATTCTGCCAACAATGTCTTACTGTACGTCATGGAATTTTGAGTCAAATATAATCTATTGTTAAAACCCATTATAAATGTGGGAATCTGATATTTTTTTTAACTGATATTATGATTGTATGTTTGTTTCATATCTGCAAAGTAGTTAACACGCTGTCAGTTCCACTTGAAGGAAGTTGTCTTTGCAGTGAAAGTGGAAGTACTTGAATATCTGTGGGTTGGCTTAGAAACTGAATATAGAATTCCATGAAATTGACGCTCTAATCTTCCTTGGAGTGATAGTGTAGCAGATAAGAGTAGAAGCGGATAAGACATTAAAACACAGAGTTGCCGCTGAACACGCTTGCACAATCCGACAACAGCAAAACATACACCCCTCCACCACACACACACTACTCACTCAAAAATACATGTTTTGTGCAGGCAAACAAATTCACACACTGACACTCACCCACACATACACCCATGCAACCACAGAAACACAAAGTGTGTCAGAGCACGTTGAAATAGCAACATGGTTGTAGCTGCAAAAATAGCACACACACACCCAAGGTTTTACATATTTCCCTTCAAGGTGCCCAATATTTGGAAATACATTGAGCTCCAAAAGTATTGGGACAGTGACAAATTGTGTTTTGTTTTGGCTCTGTACTCCAGCACTTTGGATTTGAAATGATACAATGATTAAAGTGCAGACGGTCAGCTTTAATTTGAGGGTATTTTCATCCATATTGGGTGAACCGTTTAGAAATTACAGCCCTTTTGGTACATAGTCCCCCCATTTTAGGGGACCAGAAGTATTGGGAAAAATTAATTTATATGTGTATTAAAAGTAGTAAAAAGTTAAGTATTTGGTCCCATATTCATAGCACGTAATGACTACATCAAGCTTGTGATGCTACACATTTGTTAGATGCATTTGCGGTTTGTTTTAGTTGTGTTTCAGATTTTGTGCCCAATGGAAATTAATGGTAAATAATGTATTGTTCCATTTTGGAATCACCTTTATTGTAAATAAGAATAGAATGTTTCTAAAACCTTCTACATTAATGTGGATGTTACCATCATTACGGATAATCCTGAATGAATCGTGAATAATGATGAGAAAGTTACAGACGCACAAATATCATACCCCAAGACATGCTAACCTCTCACCATTACAATAACAGGGGAGGTTAGCATTTTTTTGGGGGGTATGATATTTATGCCTCCAACTTTCTTACTCATTGTATCATTTCAAATCCAAAGTGCTGGAGTAGAGCTAAAACAACAAAAAATGTGTCATTGTCCCAATACTTTGAGTTCACTGTAAAGCAGTTTTACGTGCCAAAATTTCCTCAGAATTCAGATAGGGATTTAATGTACAGTGACATATGTTCTTCAACTAAAACGGTGTTTCCCCCCATTATACTCAATTCTCAGTCAGTTTTCTTAAAGATGCAGTCCGGGATCTTAACCCTTAACACTCGTGGGAATTGGCCTATATGGATAGGGCTAAATCGAAATGTTTCTTACAGAATAAATATGAAAAGTATATGCATAAGCATTGTAGGAATTAAAAGGGAACAGTTTGGAGATGATGGGAAAATGATTAGACCAAAGTTAAGGACACAACAGTTCACCTAACACAAGACTGAATCCAAACATTACACTGTTGATTTTTTGTGCTTTTACATTTACTGTACTTTTCGCTGCATTTGTTGATAATGAACTCTGAAAATACTCTGGATACATTCAGTAACATGATAAGAATATTCCTGTAGGTCTACATAAGACAAAAAAATTACAAGTGTTTGAGTGAGAGGACTAACTGGTGTCTCCAAGTGACCACACACACCTCTCCAAAGTGTGCATAGTTCCTAAGTAATTTCAATGCACTTATGACTCAAAGAAGAGTCTTCAACTATAAGGTGCTTTTTGAGCTCTTCTAGCTGTGCCGTTGACGAACTAGAGCAAGCACACTTGTAGTTGTTTTTTTTGGAACACAACCCTGCAATCCCGCCATCACACAATTGCTGTAGTTGTTTACGCAATTCAAAAACAGCCCATTTTAAATCGCAATCTGGTTCAGGTGGGCATAATTTGAAAGCTTGCTCTACTGCCAGTTACAGTGCCTTCAGAAAGTATTCATACCCCTTGACTTATTCCAAATTTTGTTGTGTTACAGCCTGAATTCAAAATTGAATTTTCTCACCCATCTACACACAATACCCCATAATAACAAAGTGAAAACATGTTTTTAGAAACGTTTGCAAATGTCTTGAAAAATAAATACAGAAATATGTAATTTACATAAGTATTCACACCCCTGAGTCAATACATGTTAGAATCACCTTTGGCAGCGATTACAGCTGGGTAAGTCTAAGAGCTTTGCACACCTGGATTGTACAACATTTGCCCATTATTCTTGAAAACAAATATTCATCATTGCTAGACTGCCATTTTCAAGTCTTGCCATAGATTTTCAAACCGATTTAAGTCAAAACTGGAACATTTACTATCTTCTTGGTAAGCAGCTCCAGTGTATATTTGGTTGGAAAGCAGACTGAACCAGGTTTTCCTCTAGGATTTTGCCTGTGCTCCGCTTTATTCCGTTTATTTGTATCTTTAAAAACTCCCTAATCCTTACCGATGACAAGCATACTCATAACATGATGTGCCACCACCATGCTTGAACATATGAAGAGTGGTACTCAGTGATGTGTTGGATTTGCCCCAAACATAAAGCTTTGTATTCAGGACATAAAAATAATTTGCAGTTTTACTTTAGTGCCTTATTGCAAACAGGATGCATGTTTTGGAATATTTGTATTCTGTACAGGCTTCCTTCTTTTCACTTTGTCATTTAAGTTAGTATTGTAGAGTAACTACAATGTTGTTTATCCATCCTCAGTTTTCTCCTATCACAGCCATTAAACTCTGCAACTGTTTTAAAGTCACCATTGGCCTCATGGTGAAATCCTTGAGCGGTTTCTTTCCTCTCCGGCAACTGAGTTGGGAAGGACGCCGTTACCTTTGTAGTGACTGGGTGCATTAATACACCATCCAAAGTGTAATTCATAACTTCACCATGCTCAAAGGGCTATTCAATGTCTACTTCTTCTTTTTTTTACCCATCTACCAATAGGTGCCCTTCTTTGCGAGGCATTGGAAAACCTCCCTGGTCTTTGTCGTTTGAAATTCACTGCTCGACTGAGGGACCTTACAGATCATTGTATGTGTGGGGTACAGAGATGAGGTAGTGATTCAGAAATCATGGTAAACACTATTCTTGCACACAGCATGAGTCCATGCAACTAATTATGTGACTTGTTAAGCACAATTTTACTCCTGAACATATTTAGGCTTGCCATAACAAAGCGGTTGAATACGTATTGACTCAAGAAATTTCAGCATTTCATTTTAAATTAATTTCTAAAAACATAATTCCACTTTGACATTATGGGGTATTGTGTGTAGGCCAGTGACACAAAATCTCAAATTAATAAATGTTTAATTCAGGCTGTAACACAACAAAATGTGGAAAAAGTCAAGGGGTTTGAATACTTTCTGAAGGCACTGTATAAAGTACGATCTTAGTGTTAGGCTTTCACAGGGCAATTCAGAGAAACAGATCATAATTTCGGCGCGTATAGAAAGGAGTCATGCGTGCATTCAGGTGCGTGTCCCACGGCAAATGTTCTTCACAATAGACAAACATAGGCTCATTCTTTTCAGAACAACTCAGGGTATGATGCCATGTCATCTTGTAACTGTACATCAAACATAGTGATCATAAACATTGACACTGTATATGACATGAGTTTTATGATATGGAAAGGTGAAGTGCACATTTGGACTCATGGGTGTTTGGCTGGCTTGTATGACATCAAAGCGGTGTTTATTATAATTGTCAGTGTTTCATCTTTCAAAATACATAGAGTCCCCTTAATTTACAGCATTTCCCTCACTCAGAGAACAAAAATGGGATGCAGGAGGGATGGGGGCAACTTCTTGTCGCGTGCGGTGCTCAAGTTCAGAACGGCTGTCAGTCAAAACACATACAGCACTGTGAAGTGCAGAGCCTGAGCTCTGACGTCATTTCTAGTATGTTAGTGTTAGAGTTCCAATTTAGGCGCTTATCAGTGCCCAAATCCTGCAATTTTCAACCCGTATACAGGTACGAGTGTAAAGGGTTACACACTTACAAAATATACATTTTCGGAGACTCGTTTTGGCTCGTGAGCACTACTTTCAAAATTACTGGCTGAAATTATACAAAAGCTGTAGAGCATCACTTTAACAGCTACAGTGGCGAAACAAAACTCTGCTTTCTTGTGCTCTGGGGCTGGTCTAGTGGTAGTGCTGCCTCCCCCAGACCACAAGTACCCCTGGCTGCAGCGGTACGAAACCCCCGTTCTGCCACTCACTTTCTATACAGTATCCCCATCTACATTTTTAACTGTCTCTCTCTGTCAATAAAACTTGTCAAATTCATACACAATATTTATTTTTCTTGAGCTCTTACACCTCTATCACACCAACAGGGTCATTGCATTTTGGCACACCAGAAGTACATTCATTTCCAATGGAACGCTGCGTTTGCCTTGCAGCATTGCTTTGCAGAGGCAGTTGCAGTGCGTTCTGTGTGGTGCATACATTGGATTTATTGAACGTATGTGTCAAACTGTATGCGTAGACGGCTTGACAGAAATGGTAGCAGAAGGTGAATGTTGAACTTTATATCCAGATGATGCTGCCTACTATTTTGCGCAATGACGCTATCGGTGTGATCAAGGCGTAACATCTCTTACAGTTGCAGACTTACAGCTTTCTTGTTCTTCTTCTTGGTGGAGCGGGGCTTCTTGGCCTTCTCGATGATGGCGTAGAGAGCAAAGCACAGGCGGCTCATACGAGGCAGGTCGCTCACGCTGATGTCAAACACCAGCTTCTGGTCCCACAGGGGCTCGGAGCACACGTTAACCTCCCCGCTAGTCACCACCTTACACAGCAGCTCACTGCCGTGGAACAGACCCGCCTGGACCACCAGCTGGGAGACACACACACGTGCATAAATGCATGCACACGCACGTATACACACACGAATAATGAGAACCCACATGAGAGACTGAGTTGGACATCCTTGTGTTAACTGATTTTAACTGTGTTAACTTTTTCTTCACAAAACGAATAAAATTGCTTTTGGTAAGGTAAGTAAGGAGTCTGAATCTGTTCCTTCATAAGCAATGCATACTGCGTTCATAACATCAATAAATGTCTACAGTAAATTAAAAATCATGAATGAAGTGAATGAATGAGTCTATTTTTCCAATGTGATTAATTCAATATCAAGCAGTCAATTCCTCAAGGCTCGGTGTACTGCCTACCTTGGATATATTCAAACCAGGCTGTGTTGAAGCCAGATTAGCAAAGTACTGTGTGCATATGACCCAAATGGCACCCTATTCCCTACATAGGGCACTACATTTGACCAGGTCCCATTGAGCTCTGGTCAAAAGTAGAGCACTACATAGGGAATAGGGTGCAATTTGGGACTCAACCTATATGAGTGGATATTTTCCCCTAAGGTATCTTGGCAAATTTCTGCCTGCCAACAATGTGACAGGACAAATAATTTACAGTGAGTCATGCTCGGCTCTGAGGTAAGAGGCCGGAAGTGCACTTACACAACAACCAATCTAAACAGTAACAGTAAGCAAAAAGCTGAATCAAACACACAGACAAAACATTAAGCCAATTCCCCACGTGTCTTTCTTGATTGTTCTTTTACATCCAATTCACAGCATCCAAGTTAAACAACCTTTCTATAATGAAAATAAGAGATGTATATGAAAATATTTGCAGCACAGACCATTTCTACATAATATTGCCCAGTTGTTCAACGCAGTATCAACAGTACATTATCACAATTCTATGTAGTAATTAGAGGGCAGAGAAATTCAACAACTTTCAAGATAGGGCATGATGACGGCTCTGACCTATCTGCAACAGTAACGACAACCATCTCTCCTGTCAACAAAAAAAAGTTAAAGTGGCGAGCGAGAGCACAAAGCCTGTCCTTTTCTAAGAATCTAGGCACCAGAGTGCGACGTGAAAGCCAGATAGGCCCTCCCCACTTCCTGTTTTGTAGAGTTTCAACCAACTGCCTCTGATGAATTATGGGAAATGTGCGGTAAGGGTCATATGACCCCATCGTTTACACTTCACCTCTCCTTCGTACACCCAAAAGTGAGATATTGGTAAACAACTCTATGCTGCACTTCATTGAGCAACAGTCAGAGCGCGAAAGCTCACATGAAACCACACCAACCTTCATTCCTTCATCTGCGTTGACTCGGTAGCCTTGTAGCAGGTGAATGTGGAAAGGCTCCTCAATGGACCACAAAGAGGAAGTGTTCTGCTGATAGTAAGAAAAAAAAGAGGACATTTGCTTTGGTTAACATTGAAACAGTTAATTTTGCAAGGCCCAAAATGTGAACTTGTTTTACCTTCAACAACAACAAAACATGATAAAGAAAGAGAAGAGGAACTAAAGCTTCCAAAAGCTGAAGCTGATATAAGGCTAAGTTGGTTCTTCCCTTCTGTGTTGGTATCAGTTATGGGAAGTAGAGTTTGAACCGAACCTAAACAAAACTACACACACTCATTTATTGTCATTTAGCACCATTGTGTGTGATAATTGGGAGAGATAGGTGCTACCATTTCAAAGCTACACTGAAGATCATACAACTAAGGCAGACAGTAAAAACCATTAACAATACATTGAAAATGTATACCTTTTCCTTTTCATGGAGACAAAAAAACTCAAAGTGAGTTCAAATCAGCAAAGTTCATGCACGTAAAAGTGTAAAAAGTAAATGATTTCAGGCAGACCGCCCCAGTATGTTTTGGGCATGTCAAAGTCCATAACACTGGTTGAGGAACAACAGTAAGAGGTACAAAAAAAGGGTGACATTCTGTTAATAAAAAATTACTGTGGTCCCAAGAGGCTGAACTCTCACCTTCTTCACGGGTAGAGGGGGGGGCTTGGACAAGGAGCGACTCTTGGACACCTGGCTGCCCAGGCAGCCCTGCTCCTCCTGGTATTTGACAATGGTGGAGTAATGAACCATGGTCAGGTGGGGGGTTTGACCCCCTCTCAAACAGGAGAAGATGTACTGAGGAAAGAGTAGGGAAAGGAAGAAGGGAAGAGAGGAAGAAGAAGGGTTGGTTGGATGTCAACCACACAGATCACCCACACGCTCCGGGGTGAAGTTTCCCCTAGGTACAGATCTAGGATCGGCTTCCCCTCCCCCAATCCTAATTCAATTAGTGGGGAAAATGCAAGACCAGCGTCTAGGGGCGACTTCACGCTACTCTGTCCAGATATTCACTGGTGTACTCATGTACAAGAACTGGAGGCTGTTCATTTACTGAAGCTTAATAATGCAGCTGAAATCTCATTTCGTGTAATGCAGTTCCCTTCTGAGGGCTGCTAGAGAGATATGAGTCATCCCTGGTCTGAAGGTAGCAGGAGTTTCAAAACCAACAACGGAGTCTCCTGCCACCGAAACATTGAGTCATTCCACTAGAGACCAGAGAGCCAAAGGCTCTCATTACATACCTCGCATATACAGACAAAATAGACCACATGCACAGAGCAGACAGAGGCAACATGCAGACAAAATAAGAAACAAATACAGACCAACTCAGACTAAACATACCAGACACAACATATTGAAAAAACTGTTAACATCAATGGAGAAAATGGGTAAACTCGAAGTGAAGTAAGCTTGTATTATTGTGCTTACTCACTTTGAACTGGCACAGGGGGTATTTCCCGTATATGAATTCCCACCTCCCGTTGACCTGTAAAGTGTAGTCCTCTGGCTTCTCCTGTCGCACTGAGCGAAACACAGTGGCCTTCTTCTTTAGGGCACTCCGCATTAAGGTCACCGGCAGGTCCTGGGGCTCCTGCTGAAGCATAAAGCTTTCCTACAGAAAATAATAGATTCATTTTATATAGCAGTTTTCATTACAATCAGAATCTCAAAGTCGCTTAAAAAAATATGGATCTGGTCATTCTTGAACGATGGTCTTCCATAGCTTCAGATGATAGGCAATTCGAAAAGGCAGTAGCTTGAGAAAAAAAGAAAGCTTGAAAAGACAGCTTTTAGTTATGTCCTTTATGAGTGCTGTTTTTACAGTACATTTTGTAGTTACGTTTGGTATGAAGGATACTCTATAAAATAATAAATTAGACCCTAGGCTTGGTAAGTATATCATGTAGTAGTTATAATGTCAAATTCTCTCCATAGGAAAGCGCATTTTATTTTATAACAATTGTGTTCTTTCCATCGTCACTAAGGCTGTTTTTGTGCACGCTGACAAACGTCACATCTTAATAATTTTCTGTTTCAACTGTTTGTTTTTTCTTTCTACATTCATAGTGATTCCGAACTGTTGTTTTGAAGACTTGTAAAGTGACAGTGAGTGGTGTTTGTGGTGTGTGGGAGGGGGAGGGGGAATTTCCCAAAGTTCTTTTTTTTTTACTAAAGTCATCCTCCAGATCTTAACTTGGTCTACGCATTGGTAGAAATTCTGAATTTTCCAGTCAAAGATATCATTGCTGACAGATCTATCATTGCTGACCAATCCAATCACAAGATCCCATGTCCCTTCCCAATACATTCACAAAAAGTAACTGATTGATTTACTAGGAAAAATATTGAGAATTAGAGTAAAAAATGCCAGAGGAACAAGGCACTTACATCGCTGGCCTCAAACTTGACGTTGACAAAGATCTTCTTAGTGCCTTTTGTCTTGATGCCCCCGGGCTCTGCCAGGGAAACACATGGCTCTAGGTCACACGAGAAGCTGTACTCCATCCACTGGTACCATGGCAACCGCTGGCGGTCCTGGGCCCTCTCTTCACAGAAGGACCGCATCTTGGCCCGGAACTCGTTCACCTCATGGTTCTTCTGGGAGTCAAATTCGTGCAGACCTGAGAGACATGAACAGGAGTGGACACAAGGTCTGGTGTTGGAAACTAGCAGGATACAGTGCATTTGGTGATTCAGTGACAATGACCTAATAACCAATTACACCAATTCACATCTATGTTTGATAGGTGCCATTTTCAAAAAGCTAGTCCTAAGATGTTTTCCACAAACTTTGTGCTACCTCTACCCAAGATCAAACAGGGCTAGGTGGGTTTCCCAAAGCTTTCGTAGCTAAAGTAGTACATTATTTATCTCGACGACCCACACTCACGGCACTCGTAGACCAGAAAAATGCTTCATTTGTCGATTTTCATTAGCTAGTGTATAGAAGATTTGCCGTCAAACGTCATAATTGTTATTCTCTCGTGGCTGTGCGGCTGAGTTGTGGAGAGAAAATACGTACTACTTAAGCTACGACTATTTACTAGTAGCATTGCTTTGTGCTGCATGTCCCTGAGAGGTGATGCAGACCTTTGCCAATCAGCAGGCTGATCTGGGTGTTGGTGAGCTTCTCCACACGGTCACCCTCCCGGGCCACCAGCCTCAGGACGGACATGAAGGGCCGGACATCACACAGACGACGGGTCTCGTCTTCTAGCTCCTCACGCTCTGCCGTCGAGTTGATGCAGGTGAACACGTAAGCGTCCGCGTCGCTCAGCGCTCCATACAGGGGCTCGCTACTAGCGTTCCTCCACACCATCTATCCAAACAAACACACAGATGCACGCACACATGGACACGCACGTACAAACACAGGGTTCATAACCAATATGACCAATGCTGACCATTTACACACCCAGTCACATTCTGACTGGCAAATACACAGAGTAGCTGACCATACTTAAACACACAAATCAACTGATCACACACTGAAAAAGAGGAAGCTGACTGCACACACACTAGAGCAAGAAACCACACCATTTAAAATTAACAGAAACATGCAGGTCAACTGTCTATAACACCACTGGTACTGCATTCAAATCAGGTGTAATATATATATAATTAAGTATTGCATATTTTAAAGGGGCAATCTGGGATTCAAACAACAAAAAAGTGGTCACTCCGCTAGGGTTTTTAAATCTCTATCTTAAATTAATCAAAATAACAAAAAATGTATTTAATTATAAAACAATAAGTGATCTCCCCGATTGAGTCATTTACAGGGGAAAGTCTGTAAAGGCCTGTAAATAAAACCACTCAAAGGGTAGTAAAATCTCTGAAGCAAGCTGCCAACAGTATCATTATTTAACATATATAAATCAAACAGTATGAAGAGGCAGGACTGTTGGCATAGAAACAGGCACATTCAATGGATTTGAGAGAAGTTCTGACTGCTACAGCAAATTGTCAGACAGATTTGTATTAGAGAGGTAGAGACTCTCTCTACCACTGTACCATCACATCCAAACATGCACTTCCATAACAGGCTACAATTCAATAGGCAGTGAAGTTAATGTATTAATCCAACCTTTATCTAAAGAGGTAGGTAATTGAGAACAACATTTTATTATAATGACCTGGCTATACTTCGTTTTTTCTTCAAAATAAGATTGTAACAATAATAATAATAAATAGATGTATTTTATGTAGCGCTTTTCATTACAAGTAGAATCTGAAAGTCACCCAATATTTCTAAATATGACTGTTTCTTTGAGATTCATTGAGAATGCGGTATTACGTACCATTTGGCAATAAAATACCAGTTCCATTTTGGTACTAAAGGAATCAGATCTGCTTTACTGCACTGAGCTGGCTCAACTCCATCTGACTCTCCACAAAATAACACTCAAGTCACTCAACAGTAAATGCAATACAGAGTGCTCCCTTGGAACTGGGAGCAGACATAGAACAATTTCAATTTATGACAATATACTGCATGACCCAACCTTTTGCACATGCATTTTTAGAGCTTTCTTGTCATTTGCTCATACATTTGTATCGATTCCATATGATTTGGTCCCATATTCAAGCAAATTAAAAATATCTGGAATGTACTGAAAAATATGACAATATACGGGTCTCTCTTGATACACGTTCACATGTGCACATTTGTACATTCACATACATTCAGCTGAATGTGGGTCATGCAGCCACAGACCGGGAAATGAGGACTTACTTTTTTGATGGACCCGATGGTGTCATTGCGAGACACAGGGAATTTCAGGAAGATCCCGGTGGGCAGCAGGAAGTCCATCATGATGTCATGGTCCCCCTCCTTCTCCCACTCGCCCAACATCCCATACTCCCCCGGGGGCATGGTGACGGTCTCTCATTTACCGTCAGCTCCACTGCTGTATCACGGGAAAGGAAACCCAGCCAGCCATTCAGACAAGCAAAGCAGGACACAAAGACAATGCAGCAGCCTTAGTTAATGATCAATATGACAACGTGTTATCTATGTAGCTACCATAGGCCTACATGTGAGCCTACGAAGTTAGCAGTATGCCTACTAACACCATAGCAGGGTTGGGGTCAATTCCATTTCAATTCAGTCTAATTGGGCAGTAAACTTGAATTCCAATTCCAAAGCAAAGAAAATGTGACTTTGTTTACATCCTGAATAGACTGAATATAAATAGAATTGACCCCCTGGTACATGGATAACCCGTTGTGTGCTGCGCCTGCTATGATGTCTGAATGGTCGCCTGGAATTTCTGTTTACTTCGTGAAATGAAATAGAATTGACCCCAACCCTGCTATGTTGTTAGTAGGCATGCTGCTAACTTTGTAGGCTCACTTGTAGGCCTATGTGTAGGCCAACTTTATACAGTGTATCTCAAGTTTGATATCACAGGAAGGCTTATTTTTCTAGGAATCTGAAATGGGGGACAACAGCTCCATGGCTGAAAATATTATCAATAATAAGATTAATATTAGAATATAAAAAATATGATGAACATTGTTGTCAAAAAAGACACGGTAGCCTACTGAATAGTAAGTCTTGGTGAAGGCCTACTACAATGAACCAGATCCCTTCAAGCATACAGCCCTGTTTCAGAGTCTAGTAGTGCCAGTCACCAGTGGGGCATAGAAATACTTATTATGGCAGTAAATCATTATACCAAACTAGCAGAACATTGGGGTTATGCAGATGTAAAATTAGAATTTCAAAAACATAATTTGCATGTGGTTTTCAATTTCTGTAAACAGAAAATCTAAATCTATTCAAGAAATGTCAATTATGTGCTAATTAAATGATTAAACCTACTTAAGTGCAGCCTGCATTGCCTACGTATAACCAAGCACGTGAATGTGTTACAAAGACCGAGGCTGACGTTCTGTTAAACATTTTATCCGTTCTTTTACGTAGCACTATACGTAGGCTAACTGTGAAAGTAATGTACCCTACAACAGTGCACATTCAGTAAACTAGCCTATAGCACAAAACATCAGGAAGATTGAAGAACAAAATACCTGTAACTACAGGAGTTAAAATGTATGGTCTTGCATCAGAATTCTCTAATAACGTAGGTTACACCTTTTCTATTATGATTAAAATAAGGTCCCATGCCCAAAAACGAAATATATAAAACAAATGTATGTTTCACACAAAAGACAAGTCAACATAGCTACTGTATTATGGTTCAGTCACTTTATCTGCTACAAGCCGGTTGCTCATCTCTTCATCTTCTACAAGCGCTGGCAATGCTTCTCATCCATTGCTAAATAGCGTGCCAAAAAAAATTATTCTTATGATTCGCCGTCGTTATCCCTGTTCACCCACACAAGATAATTTTCGCAATTTGCTGAATATCTTTAAGGCTCCTAAGCGAGAGGAGCTCCTTCAGTGCGTAGTCAGTCTATTCTAAAGGAGCGGCGAGGTGCGCTCACTGAACGACAATGCGCTTCGCCTCATCATCCCCGAACACGCCAAGGGAACGTCTACAAAGTTTGTTTAGACTAGGAGGTGTGTTTGTGTGTAAAATAATATTCCTGCATAGCCTATCAGGACAAAGCATTTGCAACACAACTGTGAGGCAAAGGATTCAAACCAAAAGGTGTTAAAAATCTATAAATAAATAAAGAATCCACATAAAAATACATGTGAAATTAAACTCAACCCTTCTCGAAACAAAAATATGTTTAAACGGACTCCATATACCATAACCCTCCTCAGGAAACGATTCCTTAAAGATTGGCCACTGATTAAGTCCAGTTTGCTACAATTCATACCAACATGTAGATTGATTCAGTGTGGTTTAGGCTTAATCAAATAGGGATTGAAGGCTATCCTGAGTGTAGGTATATCATCAACAAACCGTATACATTGTCTACTCATAAAAGACTAAGCTGATACAGATCAAACATCATGCAGTCCCCAACCAACCAACACAATCGATTTTCAATATTCAAAATAAGGACAAGGAAAAAAACATTGTAATTACTTCCTAAATAGGTTACCCAGCATGTAAATGCCTTATGTTTCTATTCAATGACGATCCGTTTTTCTAGGGTGAAACTGCCAAATAGATGTGCACTGTGCAGCTGCCATCCATGTTACAACTAAATCACCAACTAGATCAGTTCGGCACATTAATATAATTAGGAAAGGGTTAAATGATTTTAGCCATTCAGAAAACACGGATGTCCATTTTTCATCATGTGGTACAATTCCAGTAAACTTCTCTCTCTCTCTAACCGTTAGCCAACAGTTTCCTGCTTTCAGTGAAGGAAAACCCACAAGATACACAGAAATAGTAGAAACAGTAAAGGATGAATAAGCAACATTCACCTGGGGCCTACTAGACCCCAGAAACACGCATGCACACACACTACCACTAAATCCACACTGACTTATCATACAATGACTCCATTACCATGGAAAGCAGAACTTAAACCAGAATAGTTATGAAGGCAATTCGTAATACAATTCATAAATACAAGCAAAATGTATTTGCCAGAAAAAGGCTCCACGTTTCCAAACACAGGTCATTTCAAAGGTTATAGTCTATCCATGATCAAAGCAAAAAGCGATTGGATTCAAAGGAAAACAAAAGGGTATAGTAGCAGCGTTCTTAGTTCAAAACTGTATGGTAACACCATACCTGAGGCCTAGCTGAGCCATAATGCCAAACCACTAAATAGGTACACTGAGTGTACAAAACATTATGAAGACCTGCTCTTTCCATGACATAGACTGACCAGATGAAAGCTATGATCCCTTATTGACGTCACTTATTTAATCTACTTCAATCAGTGTAGATGAAGGGGAGGAAACAGGTTAATGAAGGATTTTTAAGCCTTGAGACATGGATTGTGTATGTGTGCCATTCAGAGGGTGAATGGGCAAGACAAAATATTGATGTGCCTTTGAACAGGGTATTGTAGTAGGTGCCAGGCACACCGGTTTGTGTCAAGAACTGCAACGCTGCTGAATTTTTCATGCTCAGCAGATTCCCGGGTGTATCAAGAATGTTCCACCACCCAAAGGACATCCAGCCAACTTGACACAACTGTGGGAAGCATTGGCGTCAACATGGGCCAGCATCCCTGTAGAACGCTTTCGACACCTTGTAGAGTCCATGCCCCGACGAATTGAAGCTGTTGAGGGAAAAATGGGGGAGTGCAACTCAATATTAGGAAGGTGTTCTTAATGGTTTGTACACTCAGTGTATAGGGAAGGGGAACATGGGGAAAAGGGGTGTGCCCAGGTGAGGCTCCATACTGCTTTCCCATGATAACCATAATAGAAAACCAAAAACATGATTTCATCATCCACACTCCATAATTCAATATTCATATTTATATTTGATTAGTCAACATTTCATGATTCTAATTAGGCAAAACAAACATTTATCATGAGACAGAAAGTAAGGGAATTTGGCTCCAACAATAGTACTACTGAAGGAAATGGAAACCGTCAGACTCAAGTCAATGAACTGCGTGATCTGAAATGTCCATAAGAATCTTTTCCTTATTTACACATTCCCAAGTCCACTGTCAAGAAAATATTGAAGTTTAACGTATATAAACATGTATTATGATATAGTGTAAATAAAAATTGTTCTGACAATATAGCATTAAGAAATAAGATACCAAGTTAGAATAAACAAATATTAGACGAAAACATGGATTGTACTAAGAATACCAAAAATATATGTGAATCCAAAATGCACACACCTCAATAGGGGTGCTTTATTATCTTACCTCGGAAGCCATTAGATAGAGGGGCTTAGGTATAGCATTTTACAATCAATGTGAACAGCAGGAGGACTTGGATCAGAGTCTAAAAACACACCAATGTGTAACAAGAGTGCACTTACAACCAGCTGGTGAAAACAGGAAGTTAGTGTGCAGAAGAGAAACTGCAGGCCATATAAAGTTACAGACCCCATAGCCCTTACCCATCCACCATCACTGAGCAGTCACCATAGCGCAAGACAATGCATGACAAAATCGAATCAAATTTTATTCGTCACATGCGTCGTAAACAACAGGTGTAGACTAACAGTGAAATGTTTACTTACGGGCCCTTCCCAATAACGCAGAGAAATAAAATAGAAAAATAATAGAAAAGTAAAACACGTAGTAATACAAGTAATAATAAATACACAATGAGTAACGATAACTTGGCTATATATAAGGGATACCAGTACCGAGTCGATGTGCAGGGGTACGATGTAATTGAGGTAGATACAGTATGTACATATAATAAAGTGAAAGATAATAAACAGTAGCAGCCGAGTATGTGATGAGTCAAAAAAGTTAGTGCAAAAAGGGTCTATTGAGTACCTCAGTATGAGTCATAATATCCATAAAACCTAGTGGTCAAACAGGGAAATGGTTCCAATCGTTTTTCCACCATTCATTTTCTCCATAGTGGGATTTTAGAAACACTGAAAATAAGGGCTGTGTTTCATGTAGGCTTACCCTGCCGTTATGTTTTGATAACCTTGTAAATCTCTCTAGGACAAGGTGACTTTCATCAATATATTCACCTGCATTTACCCCCAACAAATGAAATTCTAATTACCTGCTAATATGGCTATCATAAAGAACTACAAATGCTATGATGATCTGGACGAGACTGCCAAATCAAGGTAAAGGTAAGAATCTCTGGATTAACTATATGTTAGCTAAATGTAGTAATAAATAAATTGGCTACATTTCTTTAAATCGACAATTCTGTGAACTGTCTTGTGCAAGTTTTAAATTGACACAAAGGGGGTCATACATGCTCATGACAAGTCTCACAATGCATCATATCATAATGCATTGTAATTTCAGGCTTGAAGTAGTGTTACCTAAAATATAAAT